AAAGGCGACTAGGGAATGGAGGCCCTATGTCTAAAATCTCAACTTAGGGATTGGAGCCCTAATATTGGTAAAGGCGACTAGGGAATGGAGGCCCTATGTCTAAAATCTCAACTTAGGGATTGGAGCCCTAATATTGGCGAAAAATAGGTTGATATTGGGGATTCTAAACTAACCCTTTTTTTGGAATTTTCTTCTTATTTCTCTTTTTGTTTTTTTTGTTTAGTAAAAATGCAGGAAAGAATTTGGAGGAAACTTCCCTTTTGGGTTGATTCCTTGCTGCAAAGTTGTTTCTTGCACTTGTGCATTTCTTTTCCCTTTTGGTTGCACCTGCTTCTTGCACGATTGCTTTGGATTGCACCTATATCAATTTTCCAAACAAAGAACAATTGTCAGTTTGAAAACGGTGGTTGGTTCGGTGGCCTCGATCATTCCAATTGCTTGGTCCCTGCCTCATTTCTGTTGAGAAACTTCGCCATTGATTGGCTTCAAAGGCAACCCCCTTTCAAACTGATAAGACTCGAATTTCAGGATCTCATGATGATTCGCCCGTGTAAGGCTTTAGTTCTTCCATCTCATTCTGCTTGGGGATTTTTACTGGGGCAAATCTCATTGGGGATTTTTTTTAGTGCCTTTACTTTGGAGGTAATCAACATCATGATCAGTCGGGATTGGACTGACGCACCACTGGGGCTGGGTATTTTCTTTACTTCTTGCTAGACGGAGCTCTGTGAAACTGGTCCTGCCACCTTTTCTTTCTAACACATTTTGGAATTTAGGGTTAAACCGAAAGGTATTCAAGGAAAGGTAAACAAAGAGCGGAGAAACGAATTTAAAAGAGAAGCGTCCCTTTCGGGGAAAAGAAGGACTTATCTGAGGTGCATGCTGGCTTTAAACTGACATGACATGCATTTTGGACTAGATGCCCGAACCTCACGAACTTGCATTTCCTCATGAACCAAAAAAGGATCTATGTTTCCCAACCAGGGAACCTTGCCAGAACTTTCTATGGTGAAATCATCTTTTCGGCCGACAACGCTGTCACACCTCCTTTTTCCGCCCCCGCGAGGGTACNACTAAAGCAATATCATGTATTCATTCAAGATTCAAGTACCACTCCAACTAAAAATGTAATCATGCAAGAACAGAACAAAGAGAGAGTAAAACTGGACCTCAAACTTGTGATGTTTTCATTTTTTTTTTTGAAATATGCTGAATAAAGCCTTCAACACATAGTTCAACCATTAAAACCCAACTTAAACAAAATACAGTCAATGTCCAACATTAGAATCACAGTAGGTTCCAAAACTCACGGAATCGTGTAATATATCTATGGATCAATAAAAGAGAGGGACAGAAACGGACCTTTCTTCGACCTCAACGTACCAGACCTCGACGAAAAAATGACGACCTCAACGGAAACAGAAAACTCGAACCAAGATTGTCAACGACCTCGATGCTCACCTTATCTCTCTCGACGACCTTGACGGGCTGTTGGTTGTTTGGGCGATGGCTGACGTGAGGTTGAGCTGGAGGTTTGGTGGACGATAAGGCAGTGTGACGCCGGTTATAGCTGTTGCTCGACCGAATAGGAGACGACACAGGGTGGTCGTTTGGTTGGTTATGGCGACGTGGGTATGGCTGGGTGTGTCGCTGGCTGGAGGCGTCGCTGGACTGGGGATGGTAAGACAGCAGTGGTCGTGGTTTTCCGGTGGTGTTCGCTGGTGGATGACAGTATGAGACGATGAGGCTGGTGGACTGTTTGGTCTTTGGGGCTAGACGCGATGGAGGGAGCCGGGCAGCAGCCACATCAATGGCTATTTCACTGGTTGCTCACTATAGGGAGGTGAGCTGGTGACGTGAGGTTGTATTTTTTATTTTTCATTTTTCTCTAAAATAAATGAAGAAAATGTCCTACTTTATTTACATACTTTCGAGTTATTATAGTTAAGTTTCGAAAGTGAGTCGTTTAAAGAGTTTACATGGGTAGTGCATAGAATGTTCTACATACAGACAGTAAAAGAAAAAAAAGACTACATTAAACTACAACTTCAAATCTTTCTCATTTTTTGCATTCATGTTTCGAGTAGCTTACAAGATGAACCAGTGTATCGTTTGTGTACCTGGTATTGTCAATACAAGAAGAAGAAGGTCA